AGAGGGGCTTCTCCCGGCAGCTTCTCCTTTAGTTTGTAGTAGTTACCCTCTTTTTAAGAAGCACCTCCCAAATGAACTCGTATGCCTGTTATCTTATATAGCAGTACTTGAAAATCCTTAGTTAAAACGTCTTTTCTGAATTTTATTTTAATAACTGATGACTATATTCTTAGAGTATTCTAATTTTATCAGGAAAACGTCTTTTCCCTCTCTCTCATCTTCCTCCCTCCCCCTTTCTTTTTCTCTCCCTCCCTCCCGCTTTTCTTTCTTTTTTTCCTCTTCCTCCTTCCCCACCTCCCTTTCTTTCCTTAAAGCAAAGTTTAATCTCAGAGAAGAGAGTTGGATTTATTTCCAACATAACAATTGTTTTGGCTTATTTTTATTCTACCTACTTCTGAAGATGGATAAAAATCTGTTCCATTTAAGTAAAAGGGGAAGTGTGGGCGGATTCCACGTGTATCCCGAGCAAAAGCTGTCTGGAAGGGATGTTAGAGGGGAGCTCTTTATTCTGCATCAAGGCAGGTAAAAATAGTTGACAGTCCCGTTTGATTTGTCACACAGCAAGTAAATCCACCACATTGTTGTATAAGCTGATAACCAGACACATACACTAGGTTGATGCATGGTTCTTAGCTTCCTGCAATTTTACCGATGATCAATCACCTTTCTTTCCTTCATGTTATGGCAAATGATACTCAGTTCCTTTTCTTGTTTCTCCCTTTTCCTTGCTGGGATCTTCAAGACTCCTTCAGTGTCCTTTTTGAAAACAAATCAAGCCAGATTTTCTATCATTCCATGCTTTCCTTGTTTCAAGCTTGAATCATAAGAATTCTCGGTGATTAATATGATGTTTTCTAATATTTACATAATAGGAAGAAAAGCCCAATGACAAATTTTTAAGACCAACATTAGATTACATCGGAAGGGTCTCTTGTACTTTTGCTAATTTATGTTGGATCTGCTCTCTGAAACCATGGGTTCAAATCTCAGCTCTGCCAAATCTTCATTTTGTAGCAATGAGAATTCACTTAGCTCTGTGAGTCTCAATTTCTTCTTCTGTCATAGATGATGGCAGTCATTCTTTACGTAGTTGTTTTAGGGTTGAAATGAGGAAATGCATGTGAAGACACTTGGCCTGGCATGTACTTGGCACAATGTAGCTATTAAATATCTTGATATTTTCCCGTTTCTACTCATCTGCCTATTTATCTATCCATGAAATAAGAAATAGTGGTTTATCATATTAATTCCCCCAAAGAACGAATCTTGAAATGGACTTTTAGGTGCATCTTAATCAATTTGGGTACATATTTAGTTCTTGCTATGGTATAAATACCATTCTAGTACCTTTATAAAAGTAATGCTGAAATTTCCACAGGAGTGTTCTGTTGGAGGAGGGAATGCCAGCTGCCTTTGTACACAACTCTTCCTGATCTGGTGTCGTACAAGCAATGAGAATAACATTGATATCTCCTGCCAGGAGTCCCAGTGAGCACTAAATGTGATTGATGGAGAAGGTGCCAACTTGGAAATCAGAACAATTCCCCTTGCTGTTCTGATCTTCGACAGCCTAGGTGGCAATGTACCGTTTATATTGCCAATCCTGCTGCTATTTTAACTTCTATTTTGTGTGTTTTTCTCCTTCTTGCCATCTTTTCTTTTCTTAAACTCTACACTTAGCACATTGCATTGGAGTTTGATATCTAGAATGGAGCCATTGCATCCTTACCAAAGAGGGAACATAGGAGAATTCAGAAAAAACATTGGATTGGGGCCAAAGAGTGTGGCTCTAGTTTGCCTTGTCTTCTCTTTGTGTTACCACTTAACAATTATCCTCAGTGTCACGTTTGTTTACGTACTATCTCAGTGTCACATGGGCAGATGTCATTTCAACCAGGGGACACTTGCATTAAATAAATTTGATAAAATTATCATGTTGATATTTTCTGTTGTAGTATCTTATAAAAATTAACAAAAATACAACTTTTGGTCATCCTGTATTTATATAATTGGACTGGTAACTGGTTAAAGTGAAAATCATTTAATTTCATCTCAGGGTAAGAGGTCTGGTAGAAAGAATCATTAAGGCTCCTTTGGTTGCTAGGTTCTGTGATTCAGATGGCACTCTTTGGGCTATCTTTAGTTTATAAGAATCTCACCAAATAAAATACTTTCACCTATGTTGCCACCTCTGATTCTTACAATAACCTCTGCTCAGGAAATCTTGTTTTCCAGATTATAAAATGTAAGATTAAGAGTAAGTAGAAACCAGAATATTTTTGATTTGTAAAATGAGATGTAGGTGATATCAAGATTCACTATTCTTGGTGAAAATCAGTGAGTTCTTAGAGTGAAAACCCTAAACTCTTCGTTACCACCGTGTACCTCTTCCCCGCTTTAATTTTTTTTTTTTTTTTTTTTTTTTTTTTTTTTTTTTTTTTTTTTTTTTTTTTTTTTTTTTTTTTTTTTTTTTTTTTTTTTTTTTTTTTTTTTTTTTTTTTTTTTTTTTTACTTTTTGCAGTACTGGAGATTAAACCCAGGGTCTCTGCACTAGTTACATCCGCAGCACCTTTTTATTTTTTATTTTGAGACAGCGTCTTACTAAGTTGCTAGTTGCCATGCTGAGTTCAAAATTGTAACCCTCCAGCCTCAGTCTCCCAGAGTACTGGGATTATAGTTGTGTACCACCATGCCCAACCAAGGTATCCCTCTGATGGCCCTAGGATTTATGGTGATGTGAAACCCAGGATGCCGTGGTGGTTCCTGGTTTTGTAAGAAGTGATCTTTGGTTTGTTTGTAGTAAGTTCACGTCCAGACTGGTGTTCTTTTTGAATATTCTGCTCTGGATTGGACCATTGGTCTGTTATCTAGGCCAGAAAATAAGGGCTCTGCAGTCCACACAACCTTTTCTAGTGTTCTGAAATGATATCATTTAAAAATAAGTCAGTCACCCTAATATCATTAAGGATGATCATTTAAATATCACTGACCTCTTTATTTCATTAAAGTAATAAGTACTAGAAAGGGGTATTTATTTGAATTTTGTAGATATTTGCGATTTGTGCACATTTTTACATAATAGTAGAGGTTAGCTTTTCTCCTTGATTTTAATGCAGTGATAAATCTAACCATTAAGAGTGTCTAATGGGCCATGAAATAAAATATAAGAAATATTGCATAAGACAAAGGCAAACTAAAACATTTATTGTTTATCTGAAATGGAAATTAAGCATGCATAAATGTTTATATTTATAATTTTTATTTGTTAGTAGCACTATATAAACAGAAGTTTAACTGATGAATTAAATAGCTGCTACTTTGAACTTAAGGATATTAATTCATCAGATCATTAAACATAACACATAAATTACAGCCAATCTTTATCAGTTTTCCATTAATTATGCTAGACACCTCACTAATTTTATTTACTAACGTTTTGTCTATTAAATGTTTATGCTAAGTGACTAGCTAAGAAAATTCTGATGCTGAAGAATGTATTTGTATCCACTCACCTTCATATCTTCCAGACTCTCTGCTAAGAAAAAAAACAAAAAACAACCCAAAGACCTTAAATGTATTTGTTTGGACTTAGACTTGATTTTGAACCTAATCTATGTTATATTAATTCTGATACTTAATTTCTTAAAGTCTCTGTTTCCTCCTTGTTAAATAGGACCAGTAATAGGTTAATAATCTGGATGGCATGGATTAGGAGGCAGGAAAGCAAGACTGCAGCGTAGGTGTAAATAATAGGCTCTTCCAAAAAAGAGTTAATTTTTAAAGAAATGAATATTTTTCCCTTCAAAAGTCAGATAACGTAGCTAATTTAAAATTAAGTATATTTTAATATTATTTTAATGTCATTACTGAGCCAATTCATATATCATACAGTTTACCTATGTGTTATATTATTTTATGTAAAATTTTATCTGGGAGGAGAGATTGAGCTTTTAAAGTAAGCCTAAAACCCCAAGGAGATTCTATACCAGCACAAGCCCCCCACTCCCGGAAACTGTTTCATCTCACAGTTTACTAGACAAATCTGTGGCTGGGACTACTAAGTTCAAGATATCCTACAAGAGCATATGTGTTTTTGTTTAGGGTTTTTGTTACCTGGAAATAGGCCAAAGTGACTAAATCGTTCACTCTTTATTGAATATTGTCTTTATCCATGGCCTGGAACCTAACCAGGGTGGAGCCTAATATGTGTAAGACCTTCTGAAGTGACTTTCAGCAAAGTAGACCAGAAAGATTTGTATAACACAGAGGGATTTGAACATAAGGGAAATAATGTATATGTTTTTCTTATTTAATGTGAAATAGAGTATCTTTATAATTGCACATTTTCCATGGAAATCTCTAACTACACACCATATAAAATGAGTAGCACTTAGCTTTTCCTCTATCTTACCATGTAGTCTGCAATGCGTTTTATATGCATATTTAGATACAAAGGTGTATATTTGAGGTCAAGTAAGAGCTATGGTGACCGTGACTATTTCTACAATATATTTTGCCTGCACATTTCCGTCATTAATGATATCCTGCAGGGCTTGCTGTGCTGTAGATTTTGGTCTATTGATTTATCGGGTGAATTAGTCTGAACTTTCTGTTTTGCAAAAATTCCATTTTAAAGTGATTCAGTCTTTGCTGACTCACGTTTTACTCTTCCCTGATGCTGATGAGAAGCAT